TCATATGGAATATCTATTAACTCACCATTGACATGGTTGTAATACGCCTTGGTTATTCCTTCTCCAAATGAGGCAAAGAGGCAGAATACATGATAAACACTATATTCTTGCTTAGAAAGTAGTTCTTGTAGAGGACCTCTTACATGATTAGCCCATTGCTGAGGTGTTTCACGAGGCCTAATAATAGATAAATAATCATATTCTTTTTCTATTTCAACCACTTTTTTATAGCAATAGTCATCAGTTTGAGGTCGATAGTTAAAAACATGTTTCATATCATAGCCAGGACGGAGATTGTTAGGTTTAGGTACTCTTTTATTATAAATATTATCTATTATAATTTTAACCATGTCACCAGGCATATTTAGCAATTTATAGCTATTTCGTTGATTTTATCGATTTAAAGCAATTTTAATATCTTATAGTAGTTTGTAACAAGTATAGTATAATAAATATCTGATTCATTTTTATTTCACATCGACACTTTTCTACCTGTCTCGGAAGTAGATAAAAACAATTTAATATAAAAAATATATCACTCAATTGTGATCTCAAGAATAGCATTAGGAAAGCAGTGGTCAACCATCATAATCTTTAAAAATCTGCATATAAATAACCTAATATATATGCTTCTACCTGAAGAAATTCGCCTTTATCTAGAAAGGTTTCACTTATTGCAAGTTATTATAGTTGAGTAGTATTCCATATAAAAAATTAAGAAATAAGATTAAAATTATATTTTACGCTATCCAGCTAATCACCTAATTGATTATTTTTGCGGACTGAACAAACTACCTAAGCCAAAGTACTGGACCACCAGCAATGATGATTATGCCCTTTCGAATACACAACACACATAGTCAGAGGCCTTATCATTAAGAGGTGAAGACTCGAGCGAAATTTTTTGCATAACTATATATACGCATAACAAGTAACCTGGGCGGTCGATCTATCAACGCAATGGAATCTCGTGCAAGAAAATAAAAACATATTATTTACTCAATTCGGTTAAATGTAACTTTATCTATTGATGGCAATATAGACGTATTAAGTTCTATTGGCAAGGTTAGATTTTGTTTATATATTTTTTTCCGGTGGATACATTCAATCACTCTCTGTGGTGTGGTTCGGTTGTTTAAGAAACCTGCGTCACCTTCCTCCTTACACACGCCCCATATTGAGGATGACGATCACGCCCGGGGCAAAAGAAAAAAAAGGTATATATCTGTTTATTTAGATTTTGAGGTAGATATATTCAAACTATTTCTCATCTAGTAGCTCAGTGGACTAAACCGCAGGAAGCTCATCGGGTCTTTCTCTCCTCGCTACATAGACAATTATAGTTCGACGATCGCACCTTCTATAATAGTGTTTTTATAAGCGTAGAAAAAAAAATAAATTGCAGGGAGGTAATATTCAGATCCTAGGCCTGCCTCGAAAGGCTATAACTACACCTGAGAAGACTATATTATAAAGGATAAAAGATTGCATATTTTTTGCAGACTGGACCAACTACCCTAACTAACTATTGGGTTATTAAAATAATAATCGTGTGTCTGTTAAACCACAAATATACTCAGTAGAGGCCCTATCGTTTCAATAATAGATCCGAAATTTTTTGCATAACTGAGTATATTCAATAGTAGCTTGGAAAGGTCAACCGATCAACACAAAACAGTCCCATTTTTTTTCTCATTACATTTAAAAAAAAGATAATTTGGAGAAAATGATTTCTTAAAAAATATTTTTTTTGAGCTTGCGAAAAAAACAAGAAAAATCGATAAAAAAATGGCTCTAAAGGAATTTATATAATCTAAATTAGCACTAGATGCAGAGCGTATTATTAATGACAATATGTTTGTTTTTAAGGAGTGGTTTTACTAATAACAAAAAACCATAAATATTCCTACGTCCAACCATGTTATTCTACCAGATTGTTCAGTCACGGTATAGAAAGCATTATGCAGGATGTTCGATTAATATGCATCACGATTTTTGGAACTGGATTTCGATATATTTGGTACTTCAGCTCATCTACAAATTTAAAATAAGTATATATACTGGGCCGTGAATATTCGAGGGGCAGGTTTGTTTTCAAAAATACTTGTAAATACATATGTGCGCTTTTTTAATGCAACCATGTTCTATCAACTGCTTTTTTTTCACTCGAATTCGGAACAGAACTTTGCACTGAAACCCTTTTATTATAAATTATGGCTACTAATAATATTTTTATTTGGCATCTTAACGTAGCATGATTAATTAATTAAATTGTGTACTAAATTTCAGCACCACAATTATTGGACACGGCAAATCAACAATACATTTTCTATATTTGGGATTAGATTAATAACTTGAAATGCATATTTGCTTATATGGGGTAAAATTTTACAAGCCATGGTATATTCGCGCCAAATCTACAAATTTGGAATAACCATTATGTTGGCCAAACATCTACTATCCCGATTTTTTTACTAAATATAAATGTGCGTTAAACACAACCACGTAACAGTAATCTAATTTTTATCATTGATAAAAGTTCACGGCTGTCAAAATCATGAGACTTATCTCGGCACCGATCTATGCTAAAATAGGTATACAAAAACTCAAACTAATGGTACATTTGTGCTAGAAAAAATAAAGTATTTATTATAACGGCCCCATAGGTCCATATACATGTTTTTGAAATAACTATCACAAGATATTTGGGTTATGATTATAAATTATTTTTTATTACTATTATATGTATGTCTCAACAGCATTTCGACAGCACTTCGACAGTGGCTTAGACAATTTTATATATGTTTATTATGAAAAAGTCAACAGCAGTTCAATGGTGGCTTAACAGCAGTTATCTAGAATCTATATTTTAATAAATGTATTCATGAAATTTCAGTAAACATACGTATGCATTATTTTAACAACTACGTAGCGGTAATTTGATTTCGCGAGTGTTAGATCTATTATGCTATTATATGACTTAATAGTCTCACGGGTCCGTATAAATTCTTATCACATAAATTTTGTGACCCTGACGGCCTCCAGAAGCTGTCGGAGTATAGTTAACCCTGTTTTTTTTCGCAAGCTCAAAAAACATATTTTTAAGAAATATTTTTCAGAAATCCATTTTTCCGAATTAACTTTTTTTCGAATGAAATAAGAAAAAAAGGTTCGAGTGTGCGATAAAAATTTGACCGGCTTTAATAATCAATGGCCTGCATTAAATTTTATGCGGTATCACTCTCTTGCAGAATCATTTCTCACAGTGTGTTTTTTTTTATTAACGAATACGAATAATGCAAATAATGTCTAGACCCTTTTTCTTACTTTATATAATTCCGTGATAAGAATGAGACTTAAAAAAATATAAGGACAATGAGTATAACGTTCTTTATTAGTATTTTTATCAAAATTCATATGTTGCAGGAACTTGGAATCTCCGCCATCTCTGAGATCATCAGATCTAAACCTGATCGTTGATTATAAGGGGTTAATTTCACCAAAAAATAACAAAATAGATTCAGTGTTTGGAAGTTATGACCGAGCGGAGTTGCTTTATGGAGAAAAAACTTGCATTGAAATTGGGTAACACAATTATTAATGTATTTTTCCTTCTGGCAGGTTCTCAGACCTAACGAACGTGAATTATAAAAATAAGCAGGCTCCCGCCCATAAGATAAGTTAGCAATAACGTTATTTTTGCTCATATATATTTTTTACTTGATTCACTTGCCCGTAATTTATTTTTAAAGTAATTTGCTATTTTATTTAATGGAAAGTATGAAACTGAATTTTTACTTACTATAATTTTTCTTATATTTAGGTATGAAAAATGAGCACTAACAATAGCACCACCTCCAATGATGGATTTGTTTCAGTCAAATATGGTAAATTCTTTTATTGGTTTTGTAAATGAAAATACAATTAATCAATATAATTTTTTATAGATATTTTAGGACTTCAGTCGAATGAAATAACAATACACCATCATGATGAAAATGAGAAATATCATAGTTGTCTAAAATTAGTAGAAGCAGACAAGCCGAAACAATTGTAAACTACTCAGTTTTCTAATTATTTGTTTTTTGTATTACGTTTTTATATCTGATTTCTTCTAATTTATGTTGTATAATCATAGTAAAATTTATAAACAAGTGGGTCAATATTTTGATATTAATGGTGTTATAACATGACTGGATGAAATTAAGAATAATCAAGGTCCACTTCGGAAAACGGTACAGTTACAATATACTATAAATTTAGAATTTGAATTCGTTTCTGTTCAAGAAAATGCTGGTGGTAGTGATAATGCAGGTTATATTGATATGTAAAAATAACAATATATATTTTATTTTCTCATTTGTGTTTTTATTATATAATAAAAAATATATTTTTTCATTATACATTGTCGTTCCGGCAACAATTTTTATGAAATAAAGGGAGGGGTTTCATGCCCTCGCTATTTTCATTTTTACGCGATTTTATATCACGTGATGTTGTGACCTGGTGTCACATTCTATAAAAATAAATTTTTGGTTTGCTTGCAGATATTGATATAAATAATTTTCTAATAAAAAAAGCAGTAAAAAATATATTACTCGGGATCTCAAGGATAGCATTAGGAAAACGGCCGGGTTTATTTATTAATAGGTTCCTCCAAAATAAATAACTGCGGTTATCCACGATCACATTAGTGGTGTAGTTAAATTACGCGCCCATTACTGTGAGAAGTACAGTAATGATGTACTTACTGTAATTTCTCTAATATCATAATGCAGATTTCCTGGAGGTGGTGATCGGCCCACATAACCAGACTATATTACGATTGCGAACTTGAGTTTATTACTTGAAGTATTGCAGGTAAGACAATATTCTGTTTCATTTCTATACTATTCGCCATGTAATACATAATTCCCATGTTTTCTATTGCAAATAGGGCATAGTAAGCTCCACGGCTGAGGTGATGCAAAATTATAATTATCAATTCCCCTAAAACTATTTCAGAATTTCAGGTATGGGAAGTGCTCTAAGACGGATTTGATAATTAATTCTGGATCAGGTCTGGCTTCAAAAGTGATAGGCTTGAAATCAGGGGCTTGAGGTTTTGCTAACACTATCACAGCTTTTGATAATTGCCACGGCTTATGTCCAGTTTCTTGTTTATATTTTTTATATAAGTTCGACTGAATCTTATTCGTCAAAATGCTTGGTAGCCCACTTAATTTGGCATGCCAATCTAGATATTCGGGGGTTAATATTTTATCAGACTTGGTCATTTTTCTTTTTATATAACTGCAAACAATTTAAATTAGGTAATAGCTGACATAGACTAACCTTGTAAAAAAAATAAATGAAGCGTGGGCAAATAGGCTATAAAATTATAAAACTATGAAACTATGCAACTATCTCAATTTCACGCTGTTCGCATTTAATAAAGTAAGATCCGGCTTTATATCTACCTTCTATACTTTCTTCATTATGATCTAATTTGCATAATAGGCATGATGTCTTATTAGTAATGCCATAATAATCAAAATTTTCACTACTAAATTCTCTATATAAATTGGGATAATGACCCAATGTCTTGTTGCGAAAATAGGATTGGTCATGGGATTGGGATGTAGATGATACACTTGCCAATGTACTTACTTCTATCACTTGCACCTCCAATGCATCAGTCTTATTGGTTTTCAAAGTCACGTGTCTGTTCCAAATTGGAACAGAGTCTTCATAACCTACATCATCTGTATTAGTAGCTTTTTTGGGAAAATCATTTATAATTTCCTGGATCTGATTATCAGATAAATTTGAGATGGCACTTGCGCTACAGCTAATTATTTGGGTTCTATTTATTCCTATTCTATCAAACAATATATAGATTTTTTTAGCTCTAAAAGTTAATTTACGCAAGTTTACATCAGTAATGTCAGGAAAAAGGGGTTTGATTTCGCTGTACACTAACATTCTTGCTGATTTGTCATCAACACCATTCTTAGACTTAATATCCCTGACTCGATCCTCATATGCTTTATAGTAACAATATCAGTATAAAATCTCCTTACGTCTAAGCTTCATTGCTACTCTAAATAGATCAGTTATATTCTGTGCTGTAACTTCACTAGATCCCATCAGAATTGTTTCTAAAGAGAGTTCAGGAATCTGAATATCAAATGTCTTACTAATCTTATCATCATTGCCTTTAGTGCAAGAGGATAGCTCCTGTCTCAAATCTTGCTTCACTTTTTGATTATAGGGAATTTTTTAGCACTCCGTAGCCACATCCTTATATGAGCCAGAAGCTGGAGCAGTCTGTTTGTTTGCTATAGATGATTTCACTGGTGGTGTTCCCTCTGGAATCGATTCTTTGACTACCTGTTCTGGGAGGATTACAGATTCAATGGAGAGGTCCTCCTCACAGTGAGTCAAGTCTGAGGTAACTGGGGATGAGTCTTTGGCAGTTGTCTTATGCTGAACCTTCTTTTTCCACCTCCTCTCTTTAATTTTATCACTAATGTTTTTCTTATTTACTTCAACCAAGAAAGTATCCATCTCCTTTTCCTCTGATGTCCTGGAATCAACATTTTTTCACTAGTCTACTACAGCATTAGATAAATCAACGTCTGATACCACTACCTCTGGTAACATCTCTGCAATCGTTTCTTTATCATTCTGTAGTGCCACCAAGAAACCCTGTTCTACTATCGCAAATCTAGCCTCAAGCTCCCCGACTTTAGATTTGAGTTCAGTATTCTTAGCATCACGCCTCTTATTCTCTTCCACAGACTGTCTTTGAAGTTTG